GTTTTTTAACATAACTAAACTGCTAAAGCAAGAGAATTGCGTGTAAAGCAAGTACCAGGCAGATGGAAAGGCCTGGCCCATTAACACTTTTTCTTTAAACTTTTCCTTTTTGTAGTGCTACTTCTGACTGATGGACACAGTATACAGAAGCATAATTGCTTTTTTTTATTTTAACATTTGGGAAAAAGTAGAGGATTTTATGGCTGGATGTATCCCTCAAGTCCTGCATTTATTTTTCACTTTCTGTGGCTAGGTTGACTTTTGTCTTTCCTTCCAGTTTGTTAAGTCTTGCTTGGAAACGATCAAATCCCTCATGTATGTCTTCTGTGAGACCTTCTTCTCATAGCTCTGTGTTCTGGAGATAACAGCTATCTCGATTCATTGGATCTTAGTGTCCTCTTCACTGCTTGGAACAGAAGGTAGGACCGGAGCCTGTAGGAGCATTAGTCTGTACCTGGAGAAGTTGTGTCCTGCTCTTCTCCCACCCTGGCTGCTGCTTGTGTCAGCACTGCAGTCAGTCCCCATCACCATCATGTCTCTTCACGCTGCCACAGGTGGGCTTTGCTGTAATGATTTCCTCTTCCTGTTGCCCTAATCCTCTTTTTTTTTTCCTCTTTTCTTATCCATCTCCCTTTATTTGCTAAATCTCCTTTGATTCGTTGGTCTTTCCACCCCATTTTTACTCTTTTTATAGTCTGAGATCTGTGGAACAAGATTTTTTTTTTTTTTTTTCTTCTAGCACATGGAGAAACTCTCCTGTGCCTAGACAAGCATTACAGTAGTTCTGTCTTGAAATTTTAATTCCGGACTACGTGGACAAGACCTGAGATGCCTCTTTTGTTATCTGTTCCTCAAAGCTGTACATTAAACAAAACATGCATCTGATCCGTTTAACCTGTAATTAAACATTTTCCTTAAGCAACTGACATCTTGATAACTAATAATTATCATGTGTAGCACCTTTAAAGCCTATTATGCATGTTTATGTAAGAACACTATTACCATAATAATAAGATCCCATTACCGCAAATGTGCATACTGAATGAGCATGTCTTAAAGTAATCATGCAATTCCATTAATCATACTTGAAAAATTAAAGTATTTGCTGTCTGATCTCTAAAACACTACTCAAAAGATTTTGGAAACAGCAGGACCTGTTTACTGCAAGTTTCTAATACATGATATCTCATTCCTGATGTCTCATTTTTGTTTCCTGAGTTATTGCTTATCTTTCAGCTAGAGAAATCGTTAGCTCAGAGACCCACAGTCTCCCGTTGAAAGCATTTCCATGCTCAGATTTTTATGCAGTTGGCCTTGTTTGGTTGTTGTGTTTTTTTTTTTGTCCAGGGAGTGTTGCCATCTTTTCTTAAAGCTGCTGTGAAATGCACGCCTGAAACTCAGTTCTCCTTGAAACTAGATAACTGCCTTAAACAAGATGGACTGATAGCTGATGGTAGGGCTATTAGGCCCTTGCACAGGGGGAGAAAATAATAATAAAAAAAAGCTGTTCTTCAAGTGGTCCCTTCTTTTAATAGAAGACTGGAACTTTCGGGAGTGGAGTTTTCTGCTTTTATGTATAAACTTGTCGAAAGCGTGACAGTTTTGAGTTTGTTTCTCGTTGAAATGTCAAACTCTGTAGACTGTCTGGGTTTTTTTTTGTTTTGATTTGTTTGTTGTTTTTTTTTTTTTTTTTCTCCTGGAAGAGACTGGATGACCAGAGTGAAAGTTGGGAAAAAACATTTAGCCTCCTAAGAAATCTGAGTAACCAAAATGAGACTTTTTCATGCTGTTGAAATCAAATACCTGATGTAGCTAAGAGATTTTAAAAAAAAAAGTAAAATAACTTTATAGTTTTTTAAGGATTTATTATTAAAAATATTGTGGTTGGCCTAAGAGGATCTTTGGGGCATCGATGGTGCAGAGAGAAAGCAGGTTGTGCAGGTCTGCGTGAAGCCTGCACCCCTTCCCCTTTCCTGCAGCGTGCTCCGTGGGACCACTGCGTGAGAGCGCTGAGGTGGGGCAGTTGGAGAGGTGAAGGGGTGGAGGGAATTGTTAGCCTTTTGCAGGCATTTCCTCATCCCAGCAGAGTATCCATTTGTGCTGTTACTGTCAGAAGGGAAGAGCAGGCTGTTTAATCTATGGCTTTTTTTCCTGTAATCCTTTGTAGAGATAAAAAGCATGTCCTCTCTCAGTAGTTCTGTCAAAACTTTTGGGGAAAAAGGACTAAACGTGAAACTCGAAGCCACGGTTGTTTTATGAAATCAGTTATTGTCATTATTTTGTAGCGTATTTTGCTCACTCAGGAGGAATTAACCTGAAGTTTTCAGACTAAGAATGCCTTTGCAGTTTTACAGCTGTGCAGGGGGACGGATGCTTGTCTGTAGCTGTCAGACACCAGCCTTTTTATTTGTTCTTTTTGAACTCGGTGTTAAAAATGTATTTGTGTATAGAGTGACCAAACACTTGCTGCTTTGGAGAAGCCATTTTTTATCTGTCAGTAGTACCGCGTCTAATTTAATAACATAACGCGTGTTGAGTCCAATGAGTACATCACTTTGTGTTTTCTTCCTTAACACTTGGCGTTAAGTAATCTGGAGCACAGTGAAGTATTTAATAATGCCAAGAAGTACATGATGCCAGGTACTCTCCTTAATACTTGATTCAGTGATGTGACATGTGTCTATATCCAATGTGTTAACTGTGAGAGAAGAGTAAAAGAGGAGGAGAGGATTTTAAGGGAGTGATTGCAAGGACTGAGGGTATCTAGCAGGAAGAATATGCGTGGAAAATTAGAACACACAGAAGCAGTGAAAAGCCAAAAAATACGTATAGGATTGGGAAACGAAGTGACAGATGTGATAGAAAAGATGTGGGGACAAACAGGACTTTCAAAATTGATTTTCTGTCTGTAGTGGCAGTAGTAAAACAGGTAGGTGAGACTGAGGTAGCTGGAGCTGAAGATGTATCACCAGAGGAGATCGTTGTGCCTACAGTTAGTTGCTCATGGCTGTCAATAAAATTAAAAGGAACTACATATAAAATGGGCACAAAACAGTGTTCTCTGTCATAAGGCACGTTTGGCTTTTGGAGCTCGTTGTGTTCTTGTGGACAGTCAGGCAATTGGACAGGAGAAAGGATTGTATGTCATATTATTAACAGCTCTCACAGGGGAAGGGGGCTCGTGCACACACGTGCATACGTATAGCTAGAAGGAAGGAGACTGTTTCAAAAGCAAAGCAAAATGCTTTGTGAAAGGGATAAAACTTTTGTGACTTGGGGTAGAAACCAGCTTCTCACTAACGGGTTCAGGAAGCAGATTTCCCTGCAAGCCAGTTATTCTGCTGCCACTCACCTCCAAGGCTTCATGAATCTTCCGATGTATCACTTGGCTGCTTCTTTCTTTACCTATGGATCAGGGAGAATGCTTTCTTTGTTCCCAATTAGGTTGGCAATTTCTCATTCTCCATAACTTTTCAAGAACAATTCAAGTTCTTGACAAAAATAAAATGGAAATATATAACCAAAAAAGAACAGATTAGAATAATGTGAAGTTAAATTTGGTACCCGTGTTTATATTGGACGTTGCTAGGATAGTGTGATTTAATTCTTAGCTTTAGGTTTAAAAATGCTAGAAATCTAAGTTGTTCTCTGTTGCATCAGTTACTTCTGTGAAATATTTATTTCTTAGTTTTCTAGTCTGTGGGTTGAACTAAGGAAGTTTAATATGTTTTATTCCAAGTTCAGCTTTTAAACGTTGCACTGTCTCTGTAAAATGTGTAAGAAGCTGCGTTGAATTTCCCTTCCCCCACTTTAAATACAATTCCTTTAGGAGGAAAAAAAAAAAAATGAAGCGTCTATGTTATACTGAGTAATTATGCCCCCTGGGAAATAGAATATAAAGATCTTTAAAATCATTCAGCTGAGAGAACAAGCACTTTAACTTTTGCCTCGCAGGAGTCATGTATTACATTATCAGCTACTTGCTCCAGTGTCAGTGTGTCATGCCTTGCAGGTTAGCAGGTTTGGCAGAGGAAATGAAACCCAGTCAGTTACTGCAGGATTTATAGCAGACCTGCTGTTGCAGGAAGTGGTGAAAAGTTGATTGATAGTCTGAGGCAAAACTCTACAACAAGAAACAGGATGTATGTTTGTTCTTTTATACCCGTTTTCTGACCCACCCC